GGCGGGGGACGGAGGGGGCAGGGCAGGGATGGGGGGGGGAACAAACACAAAATGTTCCGAGAGGTGGAGTGGAGGAGGTTGTCGGTCAGGGCAGGGATGGGGGAGGTCGGGGGGGGGATTCATTGCCTCATCGGCAAGGGAGGGTCAGGGGTCAGCAGCAGGTGGGGTGGGGCAGGGGGGGGGGGGGGGAGGGGGGGGGGGAGGGCGGTGATGGGAGGGGGGAGGTAGGGGGGGGGCTGGAGGAGGTGGGTGAGGGGGGGGGCGTCGCAAGCGGTGGAATGTGGGGGGGGGGGGGGCGAGGAGGGGTTAGGGGGTGAGGGGGTGGGGGGGTGAGAAGGGGAGGCGGGGTGTCGGGGGGGGTGGGGGGCGGGAGGGCGGGCGTGTGCTGGAGCCTCTAAATCATTGCCTCATCGGCGAGGGAGGGTATAGGCGGAGGGGGGGGGTCGGGGGGTAGGGCAGGGGGGGGGGTGGGGGGTTTGGGGGGGAGGGGTTGGGGGAGGGGTGGGTTTCTAATCGGTGGGGTGTGGCGGAGGGAAACAAACAGAGGGTCTTCACTGACGCCGCCCCGCTGTTGCTGGGGTCGGCGGATAAAGGGATCCGAGTCTTCCCATGGCTGGGCCTTGTTGGTGTCCGCCCATCTCTTTGTAAAAAAGCCATGCTCTGGGTTCCTTGCAGGTCGAGCTGCTTCGATTTTTTGCATCCCGGAAGGTGGCACATGACCGGTCCTCTGATGCAATCTCCTCACTATCGCGCGCTGCCCAAAGCAGCTTGCGCATGCTTGCACCCAGTAGGGCACCTGCCATCTCACACCCTGGAGCTGCTCTGAGACGTGGGGTGGGGGGAGTTGGCGTCGGCCGCAGCAACTTCTGTGGGCATTAAGGCCGCTAGACTCTGGGTTCTACACCCATGTAGAACCTTTGCAATGAATTGAAAAGGAGCATCTCCTGGAAGCCAACCCGAAGCTGGGACTCTACTACAGCGCTCCAGAATGGAACAATGCGTGCGCCTGACGGGAAGGACTTGTTGTGGGCCTAGTGGGGCTTGCAGTCGATCTTGCTTGGGTGCGGAAATGTCCTAAGGAACAGACGTCCGCTTTTGTGGAATTGACACAGCCGTGTTCTCAAGCGGGGCAGATGCATGTGAGCGCGCGCTTCTGTCAGAAGCACTTCCCCTCACGAAGGTTTGCCCGGAAGTCGTTGGGCGGCGCTTGGGTTCCGTACTTGGAATGTCAAATCTTCGGTCTAATTAAGGGCAGCTCCTGCTTGCTGGTGCTGAGGCTAGGGCACATCCGCGTGTGGTTAGAGCCTAAGATATGCAGGTATTGCATCTCAGCATGCACTGGCTTGCGGTACGGAATCGTTAGTCATCGTCTCTCTCCTGTCTGTCTTCCAAGAAGTGCAACTGGTCAGGCTGCAGAACCACTGCAAGATCATCAGGAGGCACCATGTCGGCTGTGAGTGGCTGGAAATGTGCGGGGGTACCACCATCTTCTGCAGGATGTACCTATCAAGGTCCGTACTGATTCGGGTGTCAGTGGCAAGGGAATTTTGACATACTTTGGCAGAACACATTTACCACCCACTGCTTACTCTTATAGGGCAATTGCCACAGGCTGATGGTAGATTTTTCCCCAATGGCGAGATCATGCCGACGAAGCTCGTGTTGAAGAGGGATCACAGCATCTGTCTGGAAACCCTGTATGAGGACGGCGAAGTGCTGGCCGTGGCCAAGCCGTTTGGTGTACTTGCGCACCCGTCCCCGGGCTATTGGGAGAAAGGCACCATAGCGCATGCTGTGGTGGACACGGTGCCAGCCGAGATGCTTGAAGAGAGGGGCAACCACAACGAATATGATAGCTTCATCCCGCGCTGCATCGTGCATCGACTGGACGCGGGTACGACAGGTGTGATGGTTGTGGCCAAGAGTGTCGCCTCTGAGAAGCACCTGGCCCAGCAATTCAGAGCTGCTGACTTGATGTATCAGGCCCCCAAGGGTAAGAAGCTGTACGTATCCCTTCTGTTGGGCAACCCGGCTGGGACTCAGCACAATCGTGACATAACTGTAACCGAGAGCATCGGTCGCCATCCCAAGAATGGCCGACTCTGGGCAGTTGTCCCAGATGGAAAGCCTGCGAAGACCCTCATCCGCGTGCACGCCTTCAGCAAGAAGCATGCGCTTTCTCTGGTGACAGCTGAGCTGTTCACTGGCCGCACACATCAGATCCGGGTTCATTGCTCTCACTTGGAGGCGCCTGTAGCCAATGACAGTCTTTACGCACCAGCAGCCAAGAACAAGCCCTTCCAGCAGTCGTTAGGGCGAGCGCTGCCCAAAGGACGCCAGCTCCTACATGCGTGGGCGCTGGACTTGGAGCACCCAAGACAGCAGCGGAGCTTGAGCCTTCGAGCACCGCTTCCTGCAGACATGGCTGGAATTGTGGAGAAAGTTTGGCCGGGCCTGGCATTGGATCCGGCATCCTGGCCTGGGATGCCAGCGAGATGGCAGTCAGATGTCTTTGGTGCCCCTTTGAAGGTGGCAGCTCCTGGTGAGCTGGAGACCGAGACGCCTAGCAGCATAATTCCTGAAGTGGAAGCGGGATTCTCAGGAAAGACACAGTTTGCTCAACACGGGTTATCGTTCGGGCAAACGTGGAGGAATTGAATTACAGCTGGTCTATGCCTATGCTTGTTTGGCATCACGATGACCGCCTGTATCCCACACTTGACCTGGCAGCAGCAACAAAAGCCAAAACCACGACCACCACCACGACTACGCCGATGACTCCTCCACTACTACCACAACCACAACCACAACCACCACCACCACCACCACCACCACCACCACCACCACCACCACCACCACCACCACCACCACGAATTACTGCTACTACTACTACTACTGCTGCTGCTGCTACTACTACTACTACCACTACTACTACTCTGACTACTACTCTTACTACTACTCTTACTACTATTCTTACTACTACTCTTACTACTACTCTTACGACTACTCTTACCACACTCTTACTACTATTCTTACTACTACTCTTACTACTACGACTACGACGACGACGACGCTTACTACTACTACTACTACTACTACTACTACTACTACTACTACTACTACTACTACTACTACTACTACTACTACTACTACTACTACTACTACTACTACTACTACTACTACTACTATATACTACTATATACTATATACTACTATATTCTACTACTACTACTACTACTACTACTACTAGTATATACTACTATATACTATATACTATATACTACTATATTCTACTACTACTACTACTACTACTACTACTACTACTACTGCTACTACTACTACTACTACTACTACTACTACTACTACTACTACTACTACTACTACTGCTACTGCTACTGCTACTGCTACTGCTACTGCTACTGCTACTGCTACTGCTACTGCTACTGCTACTGCTACTGCTACTGCTACTGCTACTGCTACTGCTACTGCTACTGCTACTGCTACTACTACGACGACGACGACGACGACGACGACGACTACTACTACTACTACTACTACTATCACGACGACGACGACTACTACCACTACTACTACTGCTACTACTACTCCTCCTCCTCCTACTACTATGACGACGACGACGAGGACGACGACGACGACGACGACAACGTTAAACCACGCTTGTATCCCTTCCAGGGTTTACATTGCCCTTTTCACATGACCTTTAGATGGCGCGGCATACATCTTTGACTTCTCTGTCCTTGCATAGGCCTTTCACATCTCTCGATTTGCATAGGCCTGGGTTGTTTTCTTGCAGTCGCGTTCGTGAAAAATTGTGACATGCAAGACCGTGCAAATTTGATTCACGGATTTGTAGGAAACCTAGCCAAGCTCTATTCATATGGTGTTCCCTTTGCATCAGGTTCTTGGGCGTCATTTTCCCCGCTCAGTTGTTGCAGCATGAACGGCTTTAGTTATCTGCATCCGTGATAGAAGTGAGAACATAGCGGTAGAACATAAGGCGTTTTGGTATCCAAGGCTCGTATCATTACGTCCTGCAGACCGAGGTTTTGAAAAAGGCTTCATCTCCATCACATCCTTGGCTTTGAGTTCGTACTAAAGGACTCATCACCTCTCTCACCCATCACACCTTGAGACTCAACTTCTGTTTTCGCCCCAAAGACCCTATTTTAAGGTTGTTCACTCCCTTCATGCCTTTAATGCATTGTCTTGCGGGCTTGCTTGCCTTTCTTTTCGCCCGCATATGAATAAGTGAATGCTACGGTTCCACGCAGGATTATGAGGAAACTCGTTTCCCTTCTTTTTGGTCCCACCAGCCTTTGCTCAAGCCTAAGGCTGACAGAGCTGGAGAGGCGCTGGTTGGAGTGGTGGGAGTCTTCGGAGGAGGGCCGGCAATGGGCGCACGAAAGGGACCTCTGGGAAGAGGAGCAGCGCAAGCGCAGAAGGAAAGACGCGATTGGTTTTGGGGTTCAGAAGGGTTGAGGGGCCTAAACCCTAAACCCTAAACCCTAAACCCTAAACCCTAAACCCTAAACCCTAAACCCTAAACCCTAAACCCTAAACCCAAAACATAGCGTACAAGAGGGGGAGGCAGGGGAGGTGCAGATCCTGCTTCATTGGAAGCTGATGCGTTTTCTCGTACTTGTCTTTCGCACAGGCCTTGGCCGGGGGCAGGGGGCTGAGTGCGACACTGCCCTCACCATTATATTGCCTCCAATGTCTATGCTTTGCTTAGATCTGGTTCAAGCGATTCAGGGGCCCTTCTCCATGGCTCGCCACGTCCAACTTGGGCATGGCACTGGACGAGAACTGCAGACGAAATGCTCCATCGACCATCAAATCCCGGAGTGGTACAGAAGCTGACTGGACCTTGAGGGACTGCGTCTGATCGATCTGCATGTGGGCTGGATGGAAGTTGGCCCCAAGAAGCCGGTGGAAGCCAGTGGGCAACCTTCATCTTACCGGAGGTTGCACGCCCAAAGAATGACGGCAGAGTCAGGAAGCAGCCAGCCACATGGGACATAGACACAGTTGTCGACGAACTTTGGTTTAGGAATGCAGGTTCGAGGTTTGACTGCACGGTGGTTGCGTCAACGGTTCAGGCAGGTTGAGTCTGGTCTTGAGCTGGGTTGCTGGAGTTTTCCATATACATCGCGCAGTTTCGTCCATGTTCACCGTTTGCTTCAAATTCCGGATCTTCTCGAGGGTTGCTCTGTCCTTACCAATGGACGGTGATGTCTGGTGATGTGCGAGAAGCCCGCCCAAGCACTTGCTGAAACCTGCAAAGAGACTCATGAACCCGCGGTTGTGCAGCATACTGGGCTTCTCTGTCGTGGCTGCACATGGCTCAGCACATGGAGCATGGACAGTGATTGACTTCAGCCTCGCCCAGGCAGCATCGCCTCCTTGGCAGAGGTCCAAGCTTCCGATGTAATTACCTGTGGAGAGGGTTGCCCTAAACCCTAAACCCTAAACCCTAAACCCTAAACCGGTGCACAGATCATGAGTAGTACAGGGCTCAGATATACCAGGGTTACACTCTCAGGATGTAGGGTTATTAGAGTTTTCACCCTCCTGCGCTGCCATGGTCGCACACGACCACCCGTCCTGGCTCAGCAAAACATAGCGGAGTCCGTGGGAGCTGGCGAGCCAACAGCTGAGGAGAAGGCGAGGCGTCCGCGTGGTGAGCAGGCGAATTCGCACCTGCATGTCTGCATCCAACGCGGGTGCGTCCCCTGCACAGCTGCATCCAACGCGGCACGATGGTTCAGTTGGCTGCGGGATGCCACGAAATGGCTTGCATGGGGCGCGGCTCTACAGCGGACTGCGGTCCGCCTGACAGTGCGCTTGCATGGCATGGTATGCATGAAACTGCATGGGAGGAGTGGAGGAGTGGAGTAGTGCGCCTGGGGAAGAGGATGATTGCTGGAATTCAGGAATTTGGCTGCTGGAATTCAGGAATTCGAGTCAACATTCAGGAATTCAAGCAGAATTCAGAGATGGCGAGCCTCAGCCGAGGAACCAAGTGACTTCGCTGACAGTAGGCTGAGGCCTAGGCTCCAGGGCGTGCCAGACAATGACGAGATGATGACAGCGGGAGGGTACGTGAACGACCGGAGACAGCACTGGGCAGATACCTGGGCAGAAGGAAGAGCCAGTGAAAGGGCGTAGCACAGATGATGCAGGGGCAAAGAGGATGAATCCCATGGGGGGAGAAATGGCAGAGTAATCGGGGTTTAGCACGCTACCTGAACTTTGTATAGGGCTCTGGGGTCGACCATTTCGCTCCTGCCCCGTGCGGCTTGAACGCCCACCACCACAGAAGAGGGCGAAGTATGGTGTTGAGGAGCAGTACTGACGTGTCCTGGGTATGTTTCACTAGCCAATGAGCATTTCACCAGTTAGCAAACAGTGAGTGTTGAGTAGTATCACCAGCATGACTGTGGCCACATGTGCTGCAGAGCCGATGTTGAGACTGTTGAACCTGTGTGCCTCGCCTGGCTTGTCCGAGTGTGAGCGATTAAACCCTAAACCCTAAACCCTAAACGCTCAGCATGGGTTAGCATGGACCAGGGCAGGGATGACCAAAGATTGCCGCGTGCTGAGACATTTCCCTTGGCCCTCTCGCCGTTCTTGTGCAAAAGGGCCCGCTGCTTCGTGGGGCAGTCTCTCAGGAAATCCCCGAAGGAAGCAAGCACTGCGCAAGCTGCTCTGGCCACAGGTGCCGGTGTTCAGTCTTGTTCCGCTCTGCTCACTAGTAGTCGTGCATCTGGTCATATCTGGTCAACCATGTGTTTATCCTTGGGTGGATTCGGTGCAGACAGACCGCCGTTTGTTTCAGTCGCGCAGGGCTCTGCCACGTTCCGTGCGTAGGCGTAGGCCGCGAAGCGGAGCTGGCAGATCATGTCTCACAGCAGCTCGGCAACATCTGGCTGAATGGCTGTGGCTATGGCTGTGGAGTTGCAGCCTTCCAAGGTCGAGAGCAGCGAGCAGCCACACACCCAGAAACGAACCAGAAATCAATTGGGTCAAACTCCGTTTCTCTTAGAAGTGCATCAATGAAGGGACGCTGATGGACCTTGTGCCATGGAGGCTCGGCCCCACGGACTCGGAAGAGCATCGTGACATTTGCGGAGTTGACAGCTCAGTGAGCTTGGAAACGATAACCGCGTACGTTCGCGCACGCGCGTCCTGCGCATGCGCAGGTCGGTCCAAGGCCAGTACCTCGCACGTTTCCAGTTGAATCGCTCAGGCACCAGGCGGACGACGAGGAAGCGTAGGCAGCGCGCCGAGTGCAGTGTAGAGTTGGGTTTCGAGAGCAGGATGGTCCTGCATATTTCTGCATGGTTCTGTATCCCGAAAGCCTGGGCTCAAGCGGCATCCCTCAGGGTTCGCGGATGTTCCCGTGCAAAGATGATGAGTTTACAATCGAGGTATCCTTTCTGACTGGTGCAGCACCTCGTGTTGAATGGCTCACTGTCAAGGATTCAGACCTGGTCCAGGATGTGAAGGACCGTCTGCGCGAGTTGCGGAAGCTGAATGGAGCGACGGGAGTGAAGCTTATCTTCCAGGGCTCTGCGCTCCCTGACGGCCGCACTCTCAAGTCATTGGGCGTAGGCACTGCAAGAGGCTCCCTTGTGTATGTGGTTGAGGCAGAGGGAGCAGGGAGCTCGGCCTCCCACAGAGGAGGAGGCTTGAGGATCCTGAACCTGACAGGTGGCCATGTGACGGTCCCAGCGCAAAACTTCGACACTGTGCTTAAGGTGAAGCTGGCGCTAGAGCCTATATCCCCCTTTGGGAGCTATTTTTATATTTTTGTTTATACAAAAAGCCCAAGAGGAGACTAAGAATATTGTTTTTATTGAGGTTCTAAGGGGAGTATAGGAGCCGGCTCTTAAGCTGCTTCCAGCACGGATGCGACTGCTCCATGGTGGTGTCGAGCTCCGCGACGAAGAGCGCCTGGATGCTTATGGCATTGTGGCAGATACGTCCACCGTCTATCTCCTCCCGAGCCCTTCCAGCGAAGTGTCACACGGACCCGCCCCAGAAGGGAAATTGCCTGCGAAGGAATGTGATGAGTGTGTTGGGGTTGCCGGCGTTTTCCCTGGAATGCTCATTGAGAGGAGGATCGACAGTTTTTGGTTTCCTGCCAAAGTTCTAAAGGCGACGCAAGCGGACGTTCTGAAGGTTGATATGCAGTACCTGGATGATGGAAACGTTGAGCATGGAGTTGATTGGGTGGAGTGCCGCTGCGCGCCTGCATAGGCAATGCCACTCGGCTTGGCTTTATATAGAACAGCGTGGTTTCACCGAAGCGTTACCTCTGAGCAGAGTTGGACAGCCGCAGGCTGTTGCTGCGAAGTTTTGCTCACCTGACAGGGGAGCTTTGCTTTCCAAGCAGCACACGTCAAGTTGAGAGCCCGGTGCCAATAAGCTGCATCAAGCTGCACGTGAGCTTGCGCGGCCATCTGAAGCTGAAGGCGCAAGTGTACAGTGTCTTGAGCCCCCGCTTCTGATTTTCCTTCGGAGCCTCTTCTTCTGTGGCATCTCCTGAGGACTTGTTGGCGCGCAGTCAAGTTAATAAGATAACAAGCTTGGAGTGGACCTTGCGTGGAATCTAGCCGAACCATCCCAGGTCCTTTGGCAGCTTGTATGGGCACAGCCGGCCAGCCCCGCCCAGGCGCGGGGATCGCGGCCAAGGGGCCGCAGAATACACAGAAAAGCAATTGGATGCACAAACACACCAGATTTCACGTCCGGGGAGGTGGTGGCCGCGATTGCTTCAGATGGCATTGGCCGTGTGTATGACATGCGCGCCCAAAAAAGCATGAACTGCCTGAAATTGCTTGGCTGACACGTGCTTGACATTGGCATACTACTGCTCAGACGCCCCAGCTGGCCTCAAGTCAGGGGTTTACGAAAATAAGGGACCCCCGATATCGATCCCCAAATAGTAGTTTCCCCTCGTAATAAGGACCCCAATAAGGTCCCCCTAATTTCGGAAACCCTACGCCATAAACCCCAAACCCTAAACCCTAAACCCCAATAAGGTCCCCTTAATTTCGGAAACCCCCAAGCGTAGCCAGGTCCAAAGCCGGAAAAAGCCGGAGTAGGATTGAGTCATGCGAGGCAGGAGCCCTCTCAAATCGAAATAGAACCCTAAACCCTAAACCCTAAACCGAACTGCGCGGAATGATCTTCAGAAGCCGTCGTGGCTGATGGACGCCTGATCCTCGAATGTTGTCCTGCAGAGTTTTGCGCACCTGAGAAACCATTATGCAGGTGCTCAACACATGACTTGAGGATGCCGTGTTGCTTGCGTGCCTTTCCGGAACACACAAGTCGTTGAAACCCTGGATGTGAGTTTTATTTGGAATGTCCGAGACGTGAGCAACAAAGACCATTCTTCTGTAGGGCGTGAGCTGTTGTCAGCTCTTTTCCTGGGTTTTCCTGGGGTAGTTCGTCGGTGGAGCTGCTGTGAAGCCGAAGGCTCTTGGCCGCGTGGGCGCCTTCTTTCTTTGCGAGGCTTGCTGTGCAGGCCAAGCTCCACGTCATTGCCCGCATGTGTTGGTCGAGGGCTGCGTGATTTCATATGAAAGAGACAGGGTGTCTGAACACAATTTGAAAAGGTCGCATGAATGCAAGGCCGTTTAAAAGAATCCAACTGTGAGTTCGAAAAAAGGCTTCCAATGAGAGGTAAGGAAAGGAGCGGCGAGCGTACCCTGCAGGCGCATGTCAAGTAAATCCCTTATATGACAAAACTATTCCAAGCTGCCTGTAAGCATTGGCCTGTATTCCACATCTGCAAGATGGTCGGGATGGCTATGGTGGTGGTTTCTGCATTTTTTGCCTTTTTTTTGAAATGGCTGACGGTTTACACTGCATGGCAGTTTCTTCCGGCTGCCATGCCGCCTTCTGCGCGGGAAACTTCCGCCCAAGTATACTGCCGCCAGGACTTGGCAGACTTGGCAGCAGAGACGTGTGTTGGCTTCAATGCCTTCTCAAAATACCCTCATCTGGAACGTGGTGGGTGCGGCCAGTCGAACAGACAGGGGCTCTTGAATGGGGTCCCTACACGCATGAGTTCGTCCACGGCCTCTTCAAGAGACAGAGACAAGGACCGGTAAGGGTGTCTGAAGGACCCGTAGTCAGCCTGCAGCAAGCTTAATGCGAGGCAAGAGTGCCACTACTGTACCAAGTCGGCGTCCCGTCCTTGGTTGGGCTCTGTCGTTCGAGCATCGTTAAGATCCAGCGTGGCTTCTGCTGGAGTGTGTATTGTGCAGTGCAGGCAAAAAGGCTTTGAGCAGCAGCCTCAGGTGCTGGTGGAGGTTGGCATGTCCGCCGAATTCAACTTCGACGCGGGCCCCATTCTTTTGGAGCTGCAGGCTTGGGCTTGGGTTTATGAAGGGAAGCAAGTCGCTTTCAACATTGCACGGCATAGACGGTCCACGTGTCCAGAGAGACTCAGCTTGACCCAGCTCGCTCTTCCAGAGTCTTCCGTATATTCTCGTCTGCTCTTTGAACTGGCCGGCAAGCAGGAAGGACGCACGACTGACCAACAGCTTGTTGTTGTTGATTCGTGACGGCAGCTTTAACCAGCGCAGCCTTGCATGCTTCCTCCTTCCTGCGGGACCTCTGGGGGGCTTCGGCGATATTTCTGACAGGCGCCGTGCCTTGACCTCGAAGTGTCGGACGTGTCGGACGCTGAGCGGACTTGCACTGGCCGCGCATGTCTTCGGCACGGGAGCCTCCTGAAAGTGGCTTCATGATCCGTCCCTGTGCTGGTGGCTGAAGGATCTGAAGGAGTTGGCGCTGTTGCATTGCAAGTGTTGTAGAGGTGCGTAGGCCGCCATACCACCTGAGCGATGGGGCTGACGAGCAATTTGTGGAAGAGCCCATTCCTCCTGAGCACCATGAGCACCATGAGCACTGACAGTGACGAACTCCTCTACGGTGAGCAGGACGCACAGGATTTCGCTTCCGACATCTACGTCCTGGCGGAAAGTTCCACAGACCAGCTTCTGAACTTTTGGAAGGTCTTCACGGCTCTGAAGGATGAGAGCTACCAGGGAAGGCGATTGGAGAATGCGGCCTGGCGCCTGCATGCGATGCACGTGCTAGGCAAGAGCCCCAGCAAGGAAGCGGAGTCTCGCGTCACGGGGCACGCAGAGTCCCCCGCCAAGTCCGAGCCGAGGAGCACCCAGGAGCATCTGCCCATCATGCAGGAAACATGGAGTGCAGAACAGCTGCTTGGGGCATTCTTGAAGCACAAGTTCTCCAATGAGACCATGGATGATGTGCTTCAGATCTTGCACAGTGGCAAGTTCAACTCTGCCGATGTTCCTCGCACGTCTCAGGAGCTGCGAGCCCTTCCTCATGGCGACGGCGTGCTCCAGACTCATCAAGGAAGATGGCTGCAAGAACCTGAAGCAGTTGATCGTTGGCGCTCGGTACATCAGGGATCATGAGATTCGGTACATTGACCAGATCTTTCAGGTGGCGGCCACCCATGGCGTGTCTTGCAGGCGTTGGGAGGAGCTGGAAGAAGAGGAGCGTGGACAGCCTCAGATCACTGTCATGGACATCCAAGCAGCCGTGCTGCAGTTCGCGGACGTCGTTTTGGTGCCATCCCTGAACGAAGTCTTGCCACTGGTCATCTGTGAAGCCATGGCCTTCGAGGCCGGTGGTATGCAGCAGAATTGATGCGATCCCGGAGGCCGTGACTGATGGAGTTGAAGGGTACCTGCTGCCCCCCGGAAGCCCCGATGCTATCCGAGCAGCTGTGCTGTACAAAGACCCGGCTCTGTGCCAAAGGATGGGCGCAGCAGGCAGGGCCCGTGTCTTGAAGCAGTTCAGCTACGGCAGGATGGGCGAGCGGTATCGAGAGTAATTCGAGAGTTGCTGGACACAGTGGCTTCGCGGCCTACCAGCTCTACCATGCCCGCTCTGAAGTCGGCACAGTCCCTTGACAAGCTCAACGGCCGCACCGTGCTGGTCGACATGGACAACACCATCGTGGATTGGGATGCCGAGTTCATCCGCCGCTATGCCGCCGCTTGCGGCCGGGATCCGCAGGAGGTAGAGAAGATCGTCCGCAACCGTGCAAAGTTCGAGATCGAGGAGAACTTCCCCGAGGCCGAGCGTGCAAAGGTCCTGGAGACGGTGGCTTCGCCGGGCCTCTACGAGAGCCTGAAGCCGCTTCCTGGTGCCGTCGAGGCTTTGCAGGCACTGGTGGCTGAGGGCGTGGATGTGAAGCTCGTCACAGCGCCTCACCCCACCTGTGCGGGGACCTGTGCGTTGGAGAAGTACCTCTCAGTCGAGCAGATCTTTGGAACTGCCTTCCAGGAGCGTTTGATCATCACAAGGGACAAGACCCAGGTGCAGGGAGACATCCTCATTGATGACAAGCCGAAGATCTCGGGCTGCAAGCCGTGCCCTTGGAAGCATGTGCTCTTCAGCCAGTCCTACAACCAAGACGTCCAGGGAAAGGTGCGGCTGTCGTCTTGGACTGCCTGGCGGGACGTGCTTCCCAGAGCATTCTGAGCCTTGAATCGCCGTGACCCGCACTACTCGTACCTGCAGTTCGCCAAGACTGCGATGGGTGCTTGTGTCTTCCTGAGTAGGGTGCAGGTCTAGGGTGCAGGCCGCGTGTACAGAAAGCCGCCTCTCCCTGCGGCCGACGCTGCTTCCGAGCTCACTGCGGCCTCATCTGAATTGCAGGATTGTCTTTCCTGCCAATCCATTGTTATTTATGGCAATCCCAGATGCATGTACCATGGTATGCTTATGGCCCACCAACTCTACTAAAAGGCAAGAGAGAGCTTCTTGACTCGTTCGTGCATTCGTAGTCCGCATCGAGGCAGGGTTGGGAGCCTTAAGCTTGCTTGGACACCAGCCAATACATGGCCAATACACGGCTAATACATGCCAATTCGAATTTTGACCAGTCCTCACATTGACATTTTAGCAGTGTACAGCCTACCGCCCAACTGGCGTGGACGCAGGGTAGCCCCCAGCATCCACATCCACTTGCGCAGGTAAGGAAGTGAGGCTACAAATCGGTGATCGTCAACTGCTATGGCTATGTGCTTGTAGTTGTAGTTTGTCGTCGTAGCAGCTGTCAACATCTTGCCGGGAATAGGAGGTGCAACATTTGGTCAAAAAACAGAAAAACAAGGATCGTCGAAGGCAGATAAAAGTTAGTTTTCAAGATCATCTGTTGTGAACATTGACCAGGTCAAGTGGCCATCAGCTTCTCCCGGAGGACGACGCGCACTAGATCGGAAAGAGCGGGTTCCGTTCTCTGTTCCTGGCCGAGATCTCAGACTCGAGAAGTTCTTAGGTCCTCTCGGCAGAGCATCTACAAGAACTGCCATTTCATGCCGTTTGCAGCATTCACAAAGACTCTCTGCACGAAGAAAGCTCAATTTGCATCGAATATTTGATCCCGAGCGGGTGACTTTCATGTTTAGGGGAACACATGAGTCACATGAGTGATTGCGGTGAGGCTCTCAGGCAGCGATCATAAGCCCGAGTCTGGTAGTGTAAAACACCAAAGAGAGCTCACACGGCTCAAGACTTCTCAGCGCAGAGCAGAGTCAGAGTGGCGTCATCGCCGCCTTTCCAAGGCAGTGAAAACGATGTCTTCCACGGGCGTAGAGTTCGAGAGTGTTGGTGGCTGATGCAAGATGGTTCAGGAGGACTGCGACAGCACGGCGGTGCACGTCGACAGGTCCGCCCAGGCTATGAAGCTCCAGAAAGCCCATACGGAGAGAATGCGCCGCGAGTCGTGGCTGCTCAAGGCAATTGCGGCAAAACTCCAAGTCGACCGTTTCTTGGTGAAGCATGGCTTTCGCGTAAATGACGATGTCAACAAGCCCAAGAAGACCGCCTTTGGACTTCGCTGCACGTATCCACTGCATACGGCCGCCCGGAGTCAAGACTGGCACATGGTTTGCTTGCTCTTGTACTTCGGAGCAAATCCCCTGCAGCGTGACAGCCGCGGCCGCACAATGTTCACGTACATGGAGGGCCACTGTGTCCCTGAGGAGGTCCGCCGGTTCATCGGGCAGCCTCAGAGTGCGCTTCCCGACTTCATCAAACTCTGAAGACTCTGAAGCTGTGAGACCTGAGACTTGTGTTTTGCGTGTTCCATTGAGGGATATGGACGTTCACAGGGCTTGGACAAAAAGGAAGTCTGCGATGAGGGCTGAGGTTCCCCTCAATGTCTATTCTCGTGAATGGGCATCCCTCAATGGCTGCACTCCTTTCTGGCACCAGAGAGACTCCACGTCCTAAGGTTTTACACTGTTTGAGCTTGTAAGAACCTCGGGGGGTGATCTTGCACAACTGAACACTGCCCTATTGCTGTGACATGGTGTCTCTGGGGATCAAACCGGAGGGTCCGAAGTACCACTTCAAGAGACACACAGAGGTCCCAGTGTGGTATAGAGCGTAGCAAGAGCTTCTAGGGCTTTGGGAGGCAGGGCACAGTTTTCTGGCATTTTTTGGTCGGTCCCGATTCCCCCGGTTGCGGGGGCTTGAACCTAATCCCAAAAACCCTCAACACCCTTCCCGTGAGCCAGTTTTGAGAGTCGCAACGCCATGCCCAAACCCCTACCCCCCTTGAGCGATTAAAGAAAAATACCGAGTGTGAGGGGTGTTTCGTCGTAGTTGAGGACCGCTGAACCTCGCCTGCAAGGATAAGTTGCCACTTTGGTCCGTGGAAGCTGGATCAAGTCAACTATTGACGAGGGCAAAGTAAAAACTCCACCCCTGCACGCATGTTCCTTTCTCTTCAAGCCAGACCATGCTATTGAACATCTCCCTTCACAGGGCCAGACCTTTCAATCCAATGAAAGGCTTTGTCGCACACGAGGGGGCCTTCCACTCCTCTCCTCCCCCCTGTCCCCTCTCCCCTCTCCCCTCCTCTCTGCCCCTCCCCGCTCCTCTCTTCCCCTCCTCTCCCCCTCCTCTGCCCCTCTCCTCCCCCTCCCCCTCCCCTCCCCCTCTCCTCCCCTTCGCGAAAGCAGGCGTGATTCGCAGAAAGTGGAACACAAGATCTCTTTATGGTGGCTTCGACCCTCTGGAGTATTCTGACTTGTTGGTTGTTCAAAACATGCAGGACCCCTTTTTCCTAAATAAGGGGTTCGCCACTTGAATGTTCGATCTTAGTGGCAGCACCAGCGATTTGATTTGGGATGTGCGCAGATCTTGCGACGTTTCGTGCTATCTGTTTCCAAACTTGCATGGCAAAACAGCGCAGATCCCACTGCCTTGACAGGGTGACAGCAGAATAACATGTTGTCACCCTGACTACTCCGTCGTAAATGTCTTGACAACTCGCAGCAGGCCCACGCTTCTTCGGTGGCTATTGTGTGGTTGAGACAGACCGAATTTGATCATTCAAACTGCTCATCATCACCAACTGGACCTGCGGCCAGTTCTCCAACCAAGGAATACTTGGAGGAGCCCCTGGAAGCGTCCGTTGGCTTCCAGAAGGCTTCCTGCAATCTCTATGAAACTGCCGGTCGCGTGCTGTACCACACGGCGTGGCGGCCAGTCTTCTAGACAATTTCTGTCGGCCGCCCAGTTCCAGCGACGTGACTGATTGCTCGGACTGGTAGAGCTGGCCAGAAGTCGAACTGGTGAACCTGTCTGACTTCAGCCGATACTGGCTGCGCACGCCTGCAGCTGCTGAAGTAGCTAAGTCCGGTCCGCATCCAGTCAGGCGTTTGGTGTAGGCTCAAGCGCCTGGGTAGTGGTGTTTGGTTTGCCAAGGCATAGGGCGCATCTTGAACCGAGCCCTCCCAATCTTGGAATCAAGACTGGACGGCCTGGGCTTGCTGTGGATGCTCTGGGCGAGAGTTGATTCCTTGACTTTGTGGCTGCGTCAGTTGGCTGTAAAGGCCCTCCGAAAAGCCTTTTCTACGTTGTGTTGAGGATTCCAAGAGAGAGGCAACCCAAAGAGCCCAAGACCCATCTGTTAAGGAGTACTTAAATATACGTAGCTCATAGTCAGGATCCCTACTTGGAGGTTCATGGTACTTATTAACCAATTATAACTGTACTTCTAACCCAGTTATAAGCCCCCTAAGTGCCCTAATACGGTTATAAGTACAGTTATAAGTACAGTCACAATTGGTAAATAAGTACCATGAACCTCCAAGTATACGATTTAAAGGAGCATTCCCTGATACCCCTCCTTTGGGCTGATGCCAGGCGAGTGTGGGTTTAGGGTTTAGGGTTTAGGGTTTATTCGGGAGACCAATAATGAGTTTCTAGCTGTCATCGCGTGATCCAGATCCTTGCCAGCGAGTGCGCCAGTCGTGAGAGTCGAATGAAGGGCATGGGCTCTATGGGTATGGTATCGCTAGTGCGTGTTTGGTTGTGTGAGGTCTAAGTCGTTGCGATTATCAATGAGTATTGGGACCCCTCCCGCACCACAAACACACACTCCCGAGATCCGTGTTTTTTAGATGACTACCAAGCTATCTAAACCAAGGGATGCTCAGCTGAAGATCGAAAATCGAAGAATCCTAGCCCAGCCTCTCCCCCTCGTTTAGCGCTTATGGGGTTTAGGGATTAAGGTCTAGGGTTTAGGGTTTAGGGGTGTCTTGAGACTGGAGTTCTTCGATCTTTGATCTATTTTGATCTCCAGCTCAGCGTCTTGACTCTCGACCAAGAGTTTTCTGAGACTCTTCAAACTTTGCTTGCCCATCTTGAAACTCAAGATGCTCCAAACTCATGAAGGGTAACGAGCCGTCTCTGCGCACCTTAGGCTGGCTTAACTCCGCAAGCTCAACACAAAAGGAAACTTGCAAAAACAAGTGCAAAATCAACAAATCAAGAAACATCAGCGCAACACCACAACAAGATTCCTGAAGCATCATGTGCAGGTTCTCTGAGCCTCGGTGTGCATTCTCCATCAATTGCTCTTGGTCCTCTACATTGGAGATCATCTTTCTTTTCATCCGTCACCTGCCATTGTCCCAAGCAAGCATCCACTTGAGAGTGTGATGCACAGACTGCGCCCCAGAAATAGCACCTCTTGTATGTGGTCTTGCTTTGAGCCAGTTCGATGTTCTATGCTCTTTGAACATGTCGTGTCGGTATAGAATGACAGGTTCTCTATAAAACTCCGGTTTGCAGATTCCTCCGCCATAAATCTCACTGTCATCGTGTGACCTTATCTTTTGGAAGGAGGTTGAGAGCGTATCCTTTCCATGTAGGTTCTTATCAATACCTCTCACTATCACATCGCTCTCCGAAACCTGTCACCAATAAGTCTATACATTCTTAAACTATTTTGGAATGCTCATGCGCAGCCTGTCACGTTGCACCCCTTACAAGGTCTACCGTGCACACAAAATCTATCAACGCAGATCCGTTCACATGCCTTGCCTTTAAAGCAGAGCACTGTTTCTAAGCGTATATTATTTCCCTGATTCCCCGCTTGGGATGCAAGTGCGACCATGCATCTTACTTTGAGGCAGTTGTCGGCCAGCCATTAGATGAAGACACAAGCACTATTTTTTTGTTGTTATCGCTATGCATATAGCGCTTCATCGAAAGAACGTATCATTCCAGATAGCTGTACCAGAAAATTTGACCTGCCGTCGATTTCCGTCTTTGGCGCCTTGCGTTTCAGATAGGGAGACGCCCCAGAAAACTATGATCTGTGGGATCAGCCTTCCATGTCCATCTCCCCGTCTAGACACTCAAGACTTGCGATGTTCCCCCCTTGTACTAACAGTCCTTAATCGGGATTATGGTATCTCCTACTACAGCCCCATTAAGGTTAGTATAAGGGGGGGGACATCGCTCATGACGTTCAAGGCGGAATCGAAGGTGCAGTACTCTTTATAACCCAAGACTTTCCCGTGACTTCAATCTATCCAGGCCTCGAGAACATGTGATAGAACTGCCCAAAAACCATGGATCCACTGGATGCTTGTGCTAAACCCTTGCACCAAGGTCAGCTCTTCGCTCCAAGCAGGGCGCTTGGCCGAGATTGCGTGACCGTAGGATGCTTAGGGTGTAGGGTTTAGGGTTGAGTTTGCAAGCCCAGTTGCAAAGAGGGGTTTCGGGTCAGGGTTTAGGGTCTAAGTGGGAGAGGACCCAACATCAGGATTGCGGAAGGAGTACATACGATGGGTAGCTGTCCTGGCTTTGAGGAGAAGACGCGGCAAGCACGCAGCAAACGACGGCAACAGCCTCAAAACCCTAAACCCTACACCCTACACCCCAAAACCATACACTCTCTCTAAACCCTATAAACAGAAGTGACGACAGCGACAAGCGATATCCGAATACCGATTCCATTTTCGGCTTGTGCCGAGTCCCTCAGCCTGGGGGTTTCCGATATTCGGGGTACGTATTGGGGTCCTTACTATACAGTTACTATACTGTAAGGGAATCTTACCTAGACTATAAGGGACTCTTACCATACTATAATGGAATCTTACCATCAGGGGGTCTGTTTTGGGGCCCACCTCGGCTACACCTTGTGCTTTGCGAAGGCTTGCTAGGTGCTCCCGGCCGTGCCCTCCGGCAGACTAGGGTTTAGGGTTTAGGGTTTAGGGTGTAGGGTTTAGGGTTTAGGGTTTAGGATTTAGGGTTTAGGGGTTCATCGTGCCAGCTGACATGCAGAGTCTGGCTTCAAAAAAGGATTTAGGGGTTCAGGGTTTAGGGGTTTAGGGGTTTAGGGTTCAGGGTTTAGAGTGTTTTTGACAACTCCCAATGGCCATTGACCAGTGGCAATGCAGCGCGTTCGGCTGCGTGGCCAGTTTTCGTAGGGAAATCAGAGGGTGTCCCTGGCCCAGGGGCACTGGGAGTTCTTGCTAACTAAACCCAGGGCAAAATCTGTGAAAAGCACACCCCGTTCTTTCATTTCAGCTTCACCACTTAAGTTGAAGGTGGGGGAGCGTGGGGCCACTCGTGTTCTGTCCAAGCGATGGACAGCAGATGACAGCCGCTTTCAACAAGTGGATCGCCAACCTTTTTGAATTGTGGCAAGGTCGATCTCCACGGCCCCGCCTCACTGACAGCCCGTTTCCCGGGCATACTGATTGTGTCCGTGTGCTTGCTTCCCTGGGAAAAAGACCCTAACTCCAACCCCTGGCATAAGGCGAAAAATGGCAGCATACGGCAGCTGCTCAACACCAAGGAAGTGGGGGTGTACGAAACTAAGGGACCCCTAATATATACTCCAAACAGTAGGATTCCCTGATATTCATAAGACTAAACCCTAAACCCTAAACCCTACACCCGAGGCTAGGCGGGTGGCAAAAAAAAAACCCTCGGGTGAGAAAAAAACCCTTAAACCCTAACCCCCCTAATGTCGGAACCCCCCCCCCCCCCCCCAAGTGAGTTGACGAGAGAGTAGGGGTCTAGCTGCGTGACTTGCGGCTCTGGTGCTTTTTGACCAGCCACGGGCTCAACACGTTTGGGGTTTAGGGTTTGGGGTGATTCGAAGTCCGCCTGGTGGATGAGAAGCGTTGTGGAGCCATGGAGATGCAAGCGCCAGAGCACAGCGCGGGGGCAGAGGAGGAGCAGGAAGACTTCAAGCGGCTTTACAGCCTGTTGCTCTTCATCACTGCCCTCTGGATCGCTGGCAAGCTATTTGCGCGGGCAGGCCCGGAGTTTTTTTTGGTTCTTGTTGCTGATTGATCCATGCTTAAGGTGCCTACTGAAACAGCAGAGACATGCACGATGTTTGCAACCCTGCGGTCGCAAAGGCCTACATAGACGGTGCAGAGTGAGGGGTGTTCGGCCACAGAGTTTGGTTCAAGCTGCTCATGTGAGTGTGCACGGATGTCAGAATGTCCATCCATGCCAATCCAGCCCAACAGCGCAACCACGTCGAAGCCGTAACTATGGGGTTCTTAAGGGAAGGGATGGGAATCTGGGAACCTTAGGGAAGCTTAGGGCCTTGGGTTTTTTTCCCGATTGAACCCCCTCCCGTAAGAACTAACTATATCGTAAGATGTGCCGGCACAGTGCAGTGCCGGCACCCTGTTAGCGGGGCAAAGCTATAGGAAATCATCGTCAGCCTTCTCTTGTTCTCCGGCTTCCCCATGGCGCGGCCATCCTGTAAGCCGAGCCTTAACCTGGATTTGTGGAAGAACCGGCCAAGGAGTCCGCCGGCCCCAAAACCAGCTGCTGCGCGCAGTCGATCGCCCCGGCGGCACTTGGAAGACAAGAGCAAGGATGGCTCTTGGACATCTTGGACACAGTGGGCGAAGGAGGATGACTGGCCTGAGGAGCAAAAGGAAGAAAATGAAAAGCAGCACTGGGCAGTGGCAGAGTATGCAGAGCCTGCAGGGTCCAGGTGTAATCAGTCAGGCGAGTGGTCAAAGCAGTCCTGGAGTTGGTCCGAGTGGTCCGAGTGGTCCGAGTGGTCCAAGAATGACAGAAATGACAGAAACGACAGACATGACAGACATGACAGAAATGATAGAAACGATAGAAATGAAAGAGGCTGGGCACGCGCAAGGCCTCAGAAGGAGCAAAAGGAGCTCAAGGAGCTCTACGCGCAAGCGTACATCTCCGACATCCCCGTGGAGTTTGATGCGCAGCACTTGAACAAGATGCATTCAGAATGTGGCATTCTAGAGGGAGACTTCCCAGTCTCTGTGAAGTTTCTGCCTTCCAAGGACTCCACCGGAGAAACCTGCTCATGTATTGCACGGTACCGCAACAAAGACACCATGGAGTTGGTGATCATGAGGATGAATGGCAAGATTTTAACGACCCGAAGTGGAAAGGTGAAGCGCGCAGGCGTCAGCGCCGCGAAGCCTGCGAGATGGATGGTGCAAGCGGGGTTGGCAAAACAGGGAACAGACAGCTGGACCCCGCGAAAAGTGTCGGTTCAGAATGTCCCGAAGCACTACACAGTGGAAGACGTCCTCAAGCTGCACAAGTCACAAGGCATCGATGTGCAGGAGCTGCCAACAGTCTACTTCCACAACCCAAAGAAGGAAGGAAGCGAAACTTGCAGTGTGACCTGCAAGTACGATGACATCACTCATGCCCAGAACGCCATGCAAAAGATTGGCGGCCTGCCGGTGACAACTGCCAGCGGCCAGGAACTGCGCCTGGTGCCCGTCCTGGTGGATCAGAATGGGTTGGAGGACAAACCCGAGAGCTTCAGGTTTGACGAAGGGGTGGACCTAGAGGGTGTCATCCATCACTGGAATGAGGTGCAGGGCTACGGATTCATTCGGCCGGTCCAACCTGGACCCGACCTCTTCGTCCATCGCAGTGAGATTCCCCTTCCGGAGGGGCAGCTGCCGCCCCTTTGGTCCAAAGTGCGGTTCCAGGTGAGTTGGGTTCCTGACCGGGGGAAGCAAGAAGCTTGCCGCATAAGATTCGTGGATCCTGAACCGATGACGTTGGCGTTGAAAGCCGGGGGAGCCGGGGGAGTCGGGGGAGCATCGGAGCGGCCTCATTGCTACGAGCATTACGAGCGGCATCCAGGCTTGGACTACTTCTGCCAAACCTGGGGTCTGGACTCTGCAACCAGTGCCTGGCTGGAACGCTTGCACCCAGATGTCCAGCAGGAGCTTATCAACGAGTATGACGACTCGACCCGGATGGACTTTCCAAATTATGAGGACTATATTGAGATGGTACCATCAACGGAGGTTCTCTTAGCGAATGTGCCGCGTACATCGGAGTCAGCTCTAACCACGCTTCTGCAGCGCTTCGGGCGGGTTTGCCAAACCCGCTTCCTGCCCTCGGGGAGGGCCGTGGTGACCATGACCAGCATTGAGGAGGCGACAATGGCAGTAGAAGACTTGACCTTCAGAATACCTGAAGGATGGAGAAATCTGTTGGCTTGTTTTCATCACGAGAGCCCGCCGGTGCCTCCCAGCAAGATACCAGAGGGTAAGATGCTCTTCGGTGTTGTCAAGTCGTGGAACCACCTGATGCAAACTGGCGTGGTTGCGTTGTTTGGTATAGGCCCCGACCTGGACGTGCACAGCTCAGCACTGTTGGATAGTTACGATTTGATACCCGCTTCTGCGGCGCTTTTCCGCGTTGCAAAGGGACCGGCAAGAATCTTCGTCATAGTTGGGTAACATTTTACATTTTTAAGGATACTTATAAACCCAATAAGGAACAACAAAAATAGATTCTTAAAGTAATCCCAACCATGAACTAGGAATGGTTGTGCAGAGATGCCTTGGGCAGCCCGAGACAGTGCGCCTTCACCGGGCGCGATGCAGCAGCATAGGCCTTGCTGTGCGAGAGTTTGCGAGGACACTGCAGCAGAGGCTGAGCTTGGGTTCGTCTGATATTTGAAGCGACAAAAAGGGCTGCCTGCTATTGTCCACCTTGCCTGATCTCCTGTGTTGATTAATTAGGAGATAGTAGGAGCCTGAGCTGTGAGACTGACTCGACGCAAGGAGTGTTCTCATGCTAATACCTGGTATTCCCCTGCCGTGCGATCAATTGCGTGCATGCTGTCTATGCTTCTGCCATGGCCGTGCAGTCCTTGGAAAGTTGTAAGTTATGCGCACCTTGATTTCCCATTGTTCCGTGTGGCGAAAGGCATGCCAGCCCTCGTTGGCGAGATCACCATAGGCATCCTCGCCGGGCCGCACGTGGGAAAGCTGGTGCCTGAAGCCGATGCCCTGATGCTGGAGGGAGAGCTGGCCCTGGTGCTTCGGCTTGGGTCCAAAGTTTCTTCGAGGTTTAGGTCTCTGACAAATGCTCTGCCTGCTATGCCCGCGATGCTTCAGCAAAGTGCTAGATTGGGGTGGCTCAAGGTGCGGGAAGGGGTCGCAAGGTGCTGCTTATGATCGAAGCTGGGCTTCATGTGGATATGGATGCCAAGCTGCATTGATGAAAAGAATGATGTTAGTTGTGCGCAATCGACCCTGGCAGAATGAGTAGAAGGAGAAGGGAGAAGGAGAGGGGGAAGACGAAGATGAGGAAGACATCCTGCCCACACACTCACATGGCTCATTCGGTTTCACGCCTCCCGAATGCCAAGGAGATGATACAGATTGTTGGCTTACGAGCACTCGCTGTTGGACTGATCGGGTCCTTCTTGCCTATGGGCCTAGGCGCGACCGTGACAGTGTTTCCGGCCTGTCTCGCTGCAGCATGTGTTCCCTGACAGGTATGCTAGTAGTCGCGTCCTCATCTTCCTATGAGCCTGGACTTGCTTTGCTGACGCCTAAGATCTCCAGAAAGATCGTGCTTTGTGCTTCTCCGAGGCCACCTTTTTCCTAAAACTAGAGCTGATGGAAGCCTTCGCCATTGGAGCATCCATGGCAACCATGCGGCTTTGCCGAAGAAAGTCAGACTACCAAGCGAGTTGCGTGCTGTGAAATGCTCACACACACACATCTTTTACCGAGGTCTACAGGCATTGCTCTCAATGTGATGAAGGCTGGAGGGGTGTTGAATCAGCCGACAGGGCAGCTGGTGCTGGCTGCTGCGACAGTGAACGACACCTGGCAGCTTTTCAGAAGTTTTTCACAGGGTCCCACACCCTAAACCCTAAACACAGGTTTCCCTTTTGGTTTTGGGGTTACTTACCTTGGAGCCGTACTCCTTAGGGCAGGCGTTGGATTACTTACCTTGTTTGACCTGTACCCTTAAGGGAAACAGGCCACGGGTGAAGCTGATTTTTGTGCAAAATCGGGCTCCAGCCCACACCTGTGGCGCGAGCGGGTCACCGAACCTGCCACCACCACCCATTGAAGGACAGATTGGGTGCAATCGGTCTTCTGGGTTCTTGGAGGAGGACTGTATGGTGTGTTGGTTTGGTTTCTCTGTGTTGAGGTTGTCGAAGAAGTGGGGACCCCCAAGAACGTACCAAGCCCAACTACTTCCTAACCTGAATGCCTTTGGGCGATATCCCTGTGCAGGCGTGAGCCGCTCTGGGGTTTGATTTCTCGCAACTTCGACCAATGTACCCCGCATTGCTGTGGCTAGTCGGGTGGCAAAAGAAAACACTAGACCCAGCTCAAAGCAAGCGGCAGAGCCCACGTGAAAAGCCTCCCGACATTGCTGGGTCGGGGCCCTGGCGCCACCAGCTCAACTTCCTCTTAAACGCAGGAGCCCCATGCGCAGACTTCCGTCCAAGAGCATATGTTTACTACATCATATGACACTGCATTGTTGCATCTTGTCTGGGCAATGGGCGCTTCAGCTTCTGAGCTTCGAGCCCGCTTGATCTTCCCAGTTTTGCCGTAGCAGCTCGCAGCCCTGCTTAAGGAACTGGTGAACATTGGGCTGATCACAGAAATCGATGCGATCGTGGCCGACGGCCCCTGGCAGACCTATGCTCCTTGGATGTTTGGGGATTATAGGGTTTGGGGGTTTACAGGGTTTAGGGCTAGGGTTTACAGGGAAGTTTAGAGTTTATGGATCTGTAATGATCTGTATGACTCTTCATCAAGACGGGGCTTCTCGAATACACCATCAGAAACCTTTGTTTCTCACCCTTGCCAACTTAATATCGGTCCCAAGTCAAGAACACTTTCCCGTCACACCCCTCGGCCTGAACACGGGTTCAAAAAAATCAATAATCCTTGCACCCCAGTAACTTGATGTGCTTGCCTTTCACCCCAGCTTTGAGTTTCCCGCCACTCATGCGGGTTTTCGTAATGCTCAACTCAAGAGAAGTGGTTGTCCTTTATTCCTTCGGTCACAAGCTGGCATTTTAATCTTCCGCCGTGCAAATCTCTAAATCTCTGGATCATGTGGGAAAACGGGCTATCATGCATGCTAATACTCTGGACGAAGTAAACCCAAGCGTTGATCGCCGCCTATCGCCGAACAAAGGGGGTGTGAATTGTGAGGTCATGCCGCTGGTGAGCCTTGGCAACAGGTTGTTTAGAAGTGTCATGATGCAGAGACTGCTCGTAGGTCTGCCATAGTAGTCCTACCTCTGCTTCTTTATTAAACCTATTGAACCGAAACGACCGTCTCTGAAGATTTTTGGTTCAGATTTTCTTTGACTTAAGGATCATGCTTCTGCTCGTGGCCTTCATGAGCCTCTTGGCCGTGCAAATCGTGCCTTGCTTGCTGGACAAGGCCCGGGTTGAAAAGAAACTTGGAGAAGTGCGGTGAAGAGTGACCGAATATGGCCGAACAGAACTGGATTATACAAGGCTTCTGAGATGGGTCTGGTGTTCCAGCTTACGAGGGCCAAGCTCTGCAGGTGATCTTGCCGAGGATTGCCAGAGGCAATCGCGAGAATTTGGTTCTGGGCATGCTTCTGGCGGCTCGAAGCAGGGTCTTTGTTCTTTAAAGAACCAACTTCGGGGGGAACCTCCCAAAAAGTATTCAGCGGCTTCGTGACACCCAAGGTGGCTACGGCAGTGTACATGCCTGTGCTGCTTGGCTGCTTGTTTCGCGCTGGCGCCCTTGTCTGAAGGTCAACCTGACATGGAGATGTCGGGGGTGCTGACCCCTGACCCCTGAGGTGCAAGTACACTGGTTCCTCAGCGCTTTTAGGCGCATTTTTAGCTGGCTTCTGCTTTTGCACAGACACTCGGCTCTGGAGGCGCATGGCGCGAGCGTGTCCTTGGCTTTTTTTGCGTCCCTGTGCTGACCCTCAGCCCAGGACGAGCACGTGCATCACACCTGGCATCGTCAGGTAAAGCGCATCGCCACGTTTCTGATGCGCTTTTTCTTCGCCTGCAGCATTGGGTTCACGATCCCCGTTGAAGACTTCGGCGACGGCGAAGTTTGGGGGACGGCGCTTGCTTTGTTCGCGTGGCTTGCCAGTTCATGCCCCCCATTATTTGAAGCTGAGGCGTGCTATCCAGGCTTTCATGAGGTTTCTGTCGACAGGCTGCAAGCAACAGCTGATTCGTGGCACAGGAATGCCCAGAAAATCCCAGAAAGGTCCACGTGTTTGGAAAAACCAATCGTTCCGGCTTTCGTCAGAAATTGGGTGGATACTGACTGGCCCAAACTTCATGTCATCTTCGAGAAGACGGGGGTGGCAGTTGTGACCATGCTGTTGCTCTGCCTCTTGCTCAGGTGCATACTGGGTAAACTCGCCATGGGCATTTTTGCTCTGCCGCTGACCAAGAACGAACTCCTCACGCTGAGCTTTGCCTGGGGGAGCTGGGGCGAGTTTTCCTTCATCCTGGCCCTCCGAGCTGTTCGAGGGAACTTGCTGGATGGACGCGGAACTGCAGTGAGGTGTGGAAGCTTAAGGTCGGTGGCCAACAGTCAGGGTGGGTCGTGACGTAAGCTGGAAGGGCGGGCCTCGTCAGAACGTGGTTGTGGCAAGACCAAGGAAAGAATTACAGCGCTTTGGTCCTCGCAGCTGCTCGGATGTCATCTTGGTAGGTTGTGCTTGACCAAGAAGGCTTGTGGTGACGACATGTATGGCCCCTGAGGTTCTGATATCTATCATCATATGCCCAACCGCACTGCGCTGCGTGCTCACTCGGAGTGCGAGGGAAGCGAACGAAAGCATCGAGCTTGCGAAGCCGCCAGACAGCAACGAGTGGCGCACCCCACGTCCGAAGAGTTCAGGGAGCCTCCTGACCTAGTCCGGATTGCTGCGTGAGTGGGCGGCTTTTGGGTTGGCAAGTTGGATCTCCTGTTTAGTAGTTCTTCGATGCACTCGCTTGAGGCACGAGACAGATGCCTGTGAAGAAGGCATGGTCCACTGCGCCCCTTGGCTCCAATCAGCTGTCAAGTAGACTTGAAGATGTTTGAGGATTTGAGAGGTGTTGCAAGATCCCCTGCAGGTTTACTATTGCTTGCAGACCAGATCTTGCGCTCAGTGGGGTCAGCAAGGCGCCTTGCTTTCAGCACTGGACGAGGCCGGAAGAGACTTCTGGAGCCCTTTCAAAAAGGGGGGGGGGAACTTTCAGGGCCTTTAAGGTTTAGGGCTTAGGGTTCAAAGGCGCCCTATGAATCCTTCATATCTAAGGCTAAGGGGTTTCAAGACATGAGGGGGGGGGGGGGGTGTGGGTGGCTTAAATAGGGTTTATTTGGAAGCTGAGAGTCGTGTTTTTGTGTGGTAGATACAAAGGAAAGGGCATAAGAAAGTAGCGAAAGGAGCTCCTCAATTCCCTTCCTTATCTCCTATCCTCTTTTCTTTACAGGAGAATACAGGAAAAGGGCCTCCATTCCCCTCTTGTTCTTCCTTTCTTGTGTTTTTGTCATTTAAAGGGGAACAGGAGAAGAGAAGGGAAAGAGAAGGAGAGAGGAGAGATAAAAGGAACACAATTTTAATGGGAAGAGCCAAGAAAAGAATAGAAGAGAGATGAACAAAGAAGATGGAGAGACAAAACAAGGCGCAAAGAAGATGGCACTCTTCTTTATCTATCCTCTCTCCCTTCCCTCTCCCTTCCCTCTTTCTTTTCGAAACAGAAAAACTAAAAAGGAAGAACTTGAAAAGGAGAAGGGTAAGGAAAAGAGCAGAAGAGACAGGCCGAAAAGAGGGATATGATGAAGTATGGGCAAGGTCCACGCGCAAGGAGTCACCCTCTGCTTACCCTTCCACTGCTTTATCATACAAGTTCCTTTCTTGTGTTTTATTAGTTAAAATGTAACAGAAGGAGAGAAGGGCAAGGGAAGTGAGAGAGGAGAGACAACAAGGAGGCCATTTGAATTTTCTGGAGGGGTACTGAAAAGAAGAGAAGACACAAGAAACAAGGAGACGGATAGCACTCTTCTTTATCTATCATCTCTCCCTTCCTTGTCTCTCGCTTTTCCCTCTATAATTAAAACAAATAGGTGCCCTCTCCTCTTCAGGAAGCCCCCTTGCCCTTATTTTGCTAGCTTTCTGAAACGACAAGGAAAACAACACATAGAAAGAGAGGAAAGGGAATGAAACAATAGGCAGTGGAGCTCTTCAGTGTCTTTACCTATCTCTTTTCTTCTTTTTCTTTTTCATTCAATAAGGAAAAGAAGCTTCCTTTGGTGTGATTTTGAGATTTAAAAGAGAACAAGAGAAGAGAAGGGAGAGAGAAAGGAGAGAGGAGAGATCAAAAGGAAGCAATTTTCATGGGAAGAGCAATGAAAATCATGGAAGAGAAATGAAGACAGGAGAGGGAGGTGCAAAATCAGGCAAAGAGAAGATGGTGCTCGTTTTCTTCTTTCCTCTCTTTCTTATCTTTCCCTTTCAAATAAAAACAAAAGGAAGAACAATGAACATGTAAAGGAACCCGTTTTCTTTTTCCGTTTGGGAACAAGGAAAAGAACAGAGGCGATAGGGCGAGAGGAGGGATTTGCTGCAGCATGGGGAGGGTCTACGGACAAGGAGCCAACCCCGCTCGCTTTCCCCATCCATTGGAAAAGAAAGGAACATGGCCTCCATTCCCCTCTTGTTCTTCCTTTCTTGCGCTTTTGTCATTTAAAGGGGAACAGGAGAAGAGAAGGGAGAGAGAAGGAGAGAGGAGAGACAAAAGGATTGCATTGTTAATGGGAAGAGCAAAGACAAGAATAGAAGAGAGATGAATAGAGAAGTGGGAGAGACAAAACAAGGCGCAGAGAAGATGGCACTCTTCTTTATCTATCCTCTCTCCCTTCTCTCTCCCTTCCCTCTTTCTTTTCGAAATAAGAAAACAAAAAGGAAGAACTATGAGAAGGAGAAGGGTAAGGAAAGGAACAGAAGAGATAGGCCGAGAGGAGGGGTATGATGAAGTATGGACCGGTCCACGCGCCAGGAGTCACCCTCTGCTTACCCTTCCACTGCCTTATCACACAAGTTCCTTTCTTGTGGTTTATCAGTCAAAAGGAAACAGAAGGAGAGAAGGGAAAGAGAAGTGAGACGAGATAACAAGGATGCCATTTTGCTGGAAGCGCAACTGTATGTGGCCACAACAAGCAGGCCAGGGAGGCTCAGGCGGGGCAAGTCTCTCCCTAATTAGAAAAAATCAATCTTGCTATTCACAGGTAGGCGCCCTTCTTCCTCTTCAGGAAATCGCCTTTCCCTTATTTTGCTTTTTGAAGCGAATAAGACAAACAACAGATAAGAAGAGAGGACAGGGAATGACTAGGTAAAGAGAGGAGCTCTTCAATTTCCTCCCTATCTCTTAAGTTACTTTTCCTTCTTGGGCGGGTGTCCTTTTTTCTTCCTTGAAGATGCAGAAAACTAGCAAAAAGGACACCCGATCGCCCATTTTCTTTTCAATTCCCTTCCTTATCTCCTATGCTCTTTTCCTTATTCATTGCAACAGGAGAATACAGGAAAAGGGCCTCCATTCCCCTCTTCTTCCTTTCTTGTGTTTTTGTCATTTAAAGGGGAACAGGAGAAGACAAGGGAAAGAGAAGGAGAGAGCAGAGATAAAAGGAACACAATTCTAATGGGAAGAGCCAAGAAAAGAATAGAAGAGAGATGAACAAAGAAGATGGAGAGACAAAACAAGGCGCAAAGAAGATGGCACTCTTCTTTATCTATCCTCTCGCCCTTCTCTCTCCCTTCCCTCTTTCTTTTCGAAACAGAAAAACTAAAAAGAAAGAACTTGAAAAGGAGAAGGGTAAGGAAAAGAGCAGAAGAGACAGGCCGAAAAAAGGAATATGATGAACTGAAAAGAAGAGAAGACACAAGAAACAAGGAGACGGATAGCACTCTTCTTTATCTATCATCTCTCCCTTCCTTGTCTCTCGCTTTCCCCTCTACAATTAAAAAAATAGGTGCCCTCTCTCCTCTTCAGGAAGCCCCCTTGCCCTTATTTTGCTAGCTTTCTGAAACGACAAGGAAACAACACATAGAAAGAGAGGAAAGGGAATGAAACAATAGGCAGTGGAGCTCTTCCGTGTCTTTACCTATCTCTTTTCTTGTTTTTCTTTTTCATTCAATAAGGAAAAGAAGCTTCCTTTGGTGTGATTTTGAGATTCAAAAGAGAACAAGAGAAGAGAAGGGAGAGAGAAAGGAGAGAGGAGAGATCAAAAGGAAGCAATTTTCATGGGAACAGCAATGAAAATCATGGAGGAGAAATGAAGACAGGAGACCGGGATCCCCTTGGCACCCTGCAAAAGTCCTGCAAATGCCACACAAAAGGAACAACATTTGCGGGTCAAAATTTGCCGGGATCCCCTTGGCACCCTGCAAAAGTCCTGCAAATACCACACAAAACGGAAAAGGGTAGGAACAACATTTGCGGGTAAAAATTTGCCGGGATCCCCTTGGCACCCTGCAAAAGTCCTGCAAATACCACACAAAACGGAAAAGGGTAGGAACAACATTTGCGGGTCAAAATTTGCCGGGATCCCCTTGGCACCCTGCAAATGTCCTGCAAATACCACACAAAACGGAAAAGGGTAGGAACAACATTTGCGGGTCAAAATTTGCAGGGATCCCCTTGGCACCCTGCAAAAGTCCTGCAACTACCCACCAAACGCGAAAAGGGTAGAAAAACATTTGCGGGTCAAAATTTGCCGGGAATTCCCCTTGGCACCTGCAAAAGTCCTGCCAAAATGCCACACAAACGGGAATAGGGTAGGAACAAGATTTGCGGGTCAAAATTTGCCGGGATTCCCTTGGCACCCTGCAAAAGTCCTGCAAATACCACACAAAACGAAAAAGGGTAGGAACAACATTTGCGGGTCAAAATTTGCCGGGATCCCCTTGGCACCCTGCAAAAGCCCTGCAAATGCCACACAAATCGGAATAGTGTAGGAACAACATTTGCGGGTCAAAATTTGCCGGGATTCCCTTGGCACCCTGCAGAAGTCCTGCAAATACCACACAAAACGCAAAAGGGTAGGAACAACATTTGCGGGTCAAAATTTGCCGGGATCCCCTTGGCACCCTGCAAAAGTCCTGCAAATACCACACACAACGGAAAAGGGTAGGAACAACATTTGCGG